AAAATCTTCCTCACAGGTTGACAGAATCCCTTGGAGTATTATTCTGAGCACATGATCCGAAAGGAACTTCCTCCTGGAAGAATATCTGGTATTGACTTAACAGTGTGGCTCTGTGGGCTAATGTGTCAGACTGCAAAGTCGTTTGAACTGCAAAGGTCGTTTGAACCAGCTTCTCCTTGGAAACCCTATACAGGGTCGCTAAGGGTCGGAATCGACTCGATGGCACTTAACAACAACTCTTTTCATACGATAAGCCTATAGAGCGTTGATCCTAGGGCAGAAGTGGAAGAAGAAGAAAATAACTCATAAGGAAGTGTCATTTCAAAAATGAAAGGAAATCGTTGGCAACGGAGGAGACGCCGGAAACCTGGGAGTCGCCGAGGTACTCAAGGACCCGTCTGCTCTCGGCGCGGCCCCTTTAAGGGGCGGGGTGTAGGTGGGGCCCTGTGGGCCGCGCTCCCAGGCTGCCCCGCGCGCGCGCGCGCCGGCAGTTCGGCCACGTCCCTGGCCACGTCGCGCCAGCTCTCGCCATCTTCGCCGCTTCCTCTCCGGGGCTGTCCGTGCCGCCGCCGCCTGAGCCTCCAGCCCCGGGGCCGCCGCGCCGACCGCCGCCGCCGCCATGAACATCTTCCGGCTGACCGGGGACCTCTCCCACCTGGCGGCCATCGTCATCTTGCTGCTGAAGATCTGGAAGACGCGCTCCTGCGCGGGTGAGCGGCCGGGCGAGGCCCCGGGGAGGCTCGGGCTCGGGGCCGAGCCGCCCCCCGGCGACCCGCGGGCCCTGCCAGCCCGACACACCCCCTCCTGCCGGGGGATGTTGGGGCTTCGGGACCCGCGTCGAGAAGGCTCTGCCCCAGACCGAGAGGGCCCCTGCTCTGTCTGCAAAGTTATTGCTAGGGGGTCCGACCTCGGCTTGAATGCGGGGTTTGCCCGGGCGGGGTCCTGGCTCTGGTCCTGGGTCGGGGGACCGGAGGGTGCAGGGACCCGGCGAATCAATGGGACGGGCGGGAGGAGGATGGGCAGGGCAGTGGACTGACGTGGCAGCCAGGCCGGCAGGGAGGCGGGCAGGCTGGGACCGTTGCTCTTCTGTCCTCTGGGAATGGGCTTAAGGTGGGGTGTCAGGGCAAGCCTGTTTGGGGGACTTCACATATGCGCATGGATCTCGGATCAACCTGCAGCTGAAGGGGGCGTGGGGAGTGCTTTTTAAGTTAATTTGTGACGAATTCATACTGCTTTGATAAACAAACTGGTTTGTCAAACTCTTGAGAGCCCCTTCCACTATTGGGTTCTCTTGGGGTCCCATGTAGATCCCCCACGTCACCAGGTTGCTGGCCAGCGGCTACCCCTTCCCCCCTTTCCCCCCCCCCCCCAGTCCTCATTTCATATAAGCCTGCAGGGAAGCTTAAATGTTTTTCCAGATAACAGCTCAGATGTTTAAAACGCCACTCACCCTTAAAGTTTTAAGGATGGCAGATCTGTCGGTAATTTCTGAAAGCACACCTTCTTCTCTTAAAATTCCTTTTTGATGCCTTGGCAGTGGGCAGTGAAATAACTTAATCCCCCCCCCAGGCAGTAAAGCATGGGACACTTGGGTGTGAGAGATTCAGAGATTCAGTTTCCCCAAGTTATTGCTGAAAGTGTTCAAATCTAAAGTAGCACCTCCACTGCTGCTAACCCTGCTGCTAACCCTGCTGCTAACCCTGCTGCTTGCCGTCTGTCCTCATCTCTGTCTCTCACTCTGGAACATAGCTGAGGTCTAGGAAGGAAGATAAAAAAAAAAAGAAGCACACACACCAAAAAAGACCTTTGAGCACTCAAAGTGGATGTTACAAAGTCCGTGGATTGTCACCAGTGACTGATTGGGAGGTGATCTTTCAGTTGATATCTAAGTTCTGAAAGGTCCAGTTGGATCATTACCAATGACAGCAAATTAATTGCAACAATTATAGCTGACATGTAAGCACTCACGTGTACCATTATTGTATATAATATTAACCCCCATTCTATGGAGCCAGGGATTGAGACTCTAGGGCGGTGAGTAAGTTACATGGAGGAGCCAGGATTGAAACACAGGCAAGCAATAACTCGTAGTTGAGGGTCCTAAATAAATATCCACCCACTTTGGTAGCAAAAGTGGTGAAGTCATCTTGGTTTCAATGTTTGAGGCCAGGCCAGTAATCTTTACGTTGTTGCATTGAGAAATGTTATATTTAATCTTTAGTTTTGTTCCAAAATCTTCGTGACTATCTTGATCTTCTTTTATCTATTTTGTACAATTCCCTCATCTGTCAAGTTGTTGAGTGTTGAAGTAAGCTGCCCCCTAAACATGTACCGAAACTAAGATTTTTGAAGAATCTAGTGCTATGTCAAAAATAGGATTTTTAAGGAAAACTTAAATAATGAGAAAATGAGAGTTTGCTGTATTGTTAGCTTGCTTGTTTTAATATTAACTTTCATTTAGGACAGTTTAGGAAAATATAAAATACTGAGTGAAAGTAATAAGAAGGTGAGATTAATAGGTAAATACTATTAAGTTTGTGTGTAGGTAAGTACTTTATATACACAATCCTGTAATAACAGTAATCTATGAGTAGATAGGCACCTAAGCTGAACAGGTGTGAGAAGGAGAACGGGATTATACCCACAAATGTGTACAAGGGGACTTCAAAAAGTTTGTGGAAAATGGAATTGAACAATCATTACATTTTTCCATGAACTTTTTTGTGAAGTCCCCTTGTATAGGTTTGGAAGAGAGGCTATTTCTACATATGTACTTACCTATGTTGCAGATAAACACATGACTATAATAGAACTTACAGGGGGTACTTAACAGCATAACAGGAGACAAAGTTATGCAGATCTCTTAGCTTTAAGCAAATACCTTGAAGGAATGCATTGCTGGGCTTGGGTACTCAGGACATTAGTCTTGGGGGATACCATGTTCAGTGGGCATTGCATAGTCCACAAAGACAATGCTCAATATTCTACACATTCCACTTTGTGAATAGTGACTTCACATACACAAAAAAAGTTTGTGTGTTTTTCAAGGATTTCTGTAGTTAACCTATACTTAGAGTATTCTTGTTCCTCTTGGCCTCTTAATACTTAACCCTCAAAGACCATTTACTCAGATGAAATGCTAAATTTGACTAGCTGCTTTGCTTTTCCATACTGAATTATAAAAGTTGTTTAGAGACTTCTGAAAGAGAAAGAATTTGATAGGTGCATCTCAAATAACTGCAGTAGGAGACACATGCATCCAGGTTTTGTTTCTCACTTTGAAAATATTGGTACTGAGGTTCGTTTTAGGATTTTGACCCCAGGTTTGAACGTGCCTGCAGTGTCAACCATTGTGCCCATTCCCCTTTAGGGTCAGGGGTGGGACAGGCTGGTGAGGACATTGGAGGTTCTGTTTTTCTGACTTGTTAGAGACAGGCTGTCTGAAAGTGAGGGCAGAAGAAGTCCAGCCTGGATTAGCTCTTTTGGAATCCACATTCTTTCCTGACTGTATCTGCCATTGTCATTACAGAAACTAAAACCCACTGCCATTGGGTCAATTCTGACTCACAGTGACCCTCTATAGGGCTCCCAAGACAGCAGAAGGAGAATGGCTCCCAAGACAGCTTCTCCCAAGACAGCATACAGCCTCATCTTTCTCCCAAAGTTCGTTGGTGGGTTTGAACTGTGCCCTTGAGGTTAGCAGCCCAACGCATAACCCACAACCCCACCTTTGTCATTACAGAGGACTGCCAAATGTATAGGCGGACCTCAGAGCTATTGCAGGCTTGATTCCAGACCACCACAACAAAGTGATGGTTACATCTGACTGTAGCTTGCAAAGTTGCGAAGGGAGCCTGGTGGCTCAGTGATTTAAGCATTGGTCCCTAATGGAAAGATCAGCTGTTTAAACCCCCCCCCCCCCCCCCCCCCAGGCACTCTTTGGGAAAAAGATGAGGCTGTCTTTTTCGGTAAATATTTAGGGCCTTTGAAACCCTATGGAGCAGTTTGCCTCTGTCCTATAGAGCTGCTGTGAGGAACTGACTCAGTGACCGCCGAGTTTTGAGTAGTTCATGAAGTGTGCAACAACATTATGAGAAAGTGGGAAACACTGTGAGAATGAGCAACATGTGACACAGACACAAAGTGAGTACATGCTGTTGGGAAAATGGCACTAAGGCTTGTCAACTCAGAGTGGCCACAGACCTTCCATTTGTTTAATTAAAAACAAAACAAAACAGGACAGTATCTGCTAAGTGCAATGAAGAGTGTATCGTATAGGTGGTGTGAGTTTCTCATACGTTGCAGCTGCCGCCTCAGTGTGCTCAAGTGTTCAGTTTATTCTTTCCCGAAACACTCCCTTGGATTGTTGTTGTTGTTAGGTGCCATCCAGTTGGTACCGACCCATAGCGACCTTATGCACAGCAGAACAAAACACTGCCCAATCCTGGGCCAACCTCACTACTGTTGCCATGCTTGAGTCCATTGATGCTGCCACTGCGCCAGTCCATCTCGTTGGGGGTCTTCCTCTTTTCCTCTGACACTTCACCTTACCAAACATGATATCCTTCTCCAGCGACTGGTCCCTCCTGAAAATATGTCTGAAGTATGAGAGGCAAAGTTTGGCCATGTTGGCCTCCAAAGAGCACTCTGGCTGCACTTCTTCCAAAACGGATCTATTGGTTCTTTTGGCAGCTCGTGGATAGCTCAGGACAAATGAGCCTGGATTTCAGGTGAAGGGATTCCCATCTCACTTCCCTGTGCTTAACGGTGGCTGTGTGCATCTGGTTAGTAAATGACTAGTAGAAGTCCTGAGACCCTTGACCCCCAGTCATCCTTACCGTCTTTTCCTTTGCTTGTAGCGCTGGTAGCTGCTGTGACTTGTCATCCCATCAAAGATAATGGGAACTGACAGGGTCTTCCCGAGTCATGTAACTGAACCTTTTCATTGTCGCCCTGGAGAACAGAAGGTGGAGCCGCTTTTGTCCTGCTTTTCTAGTTCCCACTCTTGAAGCTAGTCTGTGGGCCTTGGGCAAGCCAACCTCTTAAGTAATCCTGCTCTCAAATTTTTACTGATGACCCACTAAGTACAAGGCCCTGGAGCCACTGTCCAGAATAGCAGCTTGCAGCTATGGAAGTGTCTGCTCTGAAGAAAGCTGCAGTTGAGTTGAAATGACAAAGACATGAAAAGAACCATGTAGAGCATCAAGCTGTGGTCAGTAAACCTTATGGGTGTGAAACAGCAGGAATCCCAGGGAAGGCGCCTCTAATTTCCTAATTTGACAAGTTGTATACAGACTTCTATGAAGAAATGGTCACCCTTTACTAGTGACCTAGATAGTGAATGACCTGCCTGTTCATTGACCAGACTATGAGCCTGGCGAGAACCCTACTCATTTATGAACTCAGAAGAGCCTTGTTGAAGTCTAATCTGAATTTACTTCTGGAACTGCCAAACTGGTAATCCATTCCATCTGCCACAAGGTTTTTTTCAAGCAGAGAAGGTGGGAGGGTATACCATCTACATATCAAAGCAAGTAGAAAACCATTTAAAAGTTGGGTATTCACTCAGATTAACAAACAAGTGAAACATCTGTTGGATTATTTAGGGATTTAGAATATGGTTAAAATAACACTCTGAATCATTGAATGGTATTGGATACGTGGCTGGGAGAAAAATCAGCCCTACTTTACACCATAAAAACAAATTCTA